TACTGTTTACACGGACCACAAACCACTCACGAAAACACTAAGACCAAAGCAAGACAATTAGTCCCCGAGGGAAATCAGACAGTTGGGATTCATTTCCCAGTTCACGTCCAATATACAGTATATTAATGGCCAAGAAAACGAAGTAGCTGACGCACTATCAAAAACAACGATAAACGCGCTTATTACAAGTAGAATCGATTATCACGGTCTGGCAAATTCGAAAGATAGAGACATCGAATTAAACAAGCTAAGATCCGATGACACGACATCATTATTATTCGAAGAGGTTCAGTTCGGTAGCACGAAAGTAATAAGTCATATGTCGACAGGCCGACCGCAACCATTCATCCTGAAACTATTGCGACAGAAGTATTTGGAAGTATGCACAACATATCGCATCCGGAAATAAAAGCCACGGTGAAGCTAATTAGCGAACGCTTCGTATGGATGAACATGAATGGCGATGTGCGTAACTGGATAAAAGCATGCAGGAAGTGTCAAAAATTCAAAGTAAATCGTGATACTAGCTCTGCAATCGGTTTGTTTTCTCTCCCAGACATTAGATTCGAATATATACACATCGATATCGTGGGACCACTGCCAGTTTCGAATTGATACAACTATATTTTTACATGCATCGATAGATTTACATGATGGCCTATAGCAGTACCGATAACAGACGCCTCAGTCGAGTCTGTAGCCAAAGCCCTAGTCGAAAATTGGATTTCTTACAATGGCGTACCAGCAACTATCACAACCGATAGAGGAGCCCAATTTGAAAGTCGACTCTTCCAGAAGCTTATAGATCTCCTCGGAATTAAACGTATTCGAACGACATCCTACCATCCAATCGCAAACGGAATGGTCTAACACCTGCATAGGCAGTTAAAAGCGTTCCTCATATCTGTCATTGTCAACAACGATTGGGCTAATAAGCTTCCTCTAGTTATGTTGCGTCTATGAACAACAATTAAACAGGATATGAGATGTTGTCCAGCTGAGTTGGTATATGGAACTACTCTACGTTTACCCGGAGAATTTTCGGTTCATGTAAAAGTGTTCCAACTGATGTAGCCAACTAAGTGCAACGCTTGAAGAAGCACATGAACGATTTTAAAACAATACCCCTAGACTACAACAACGACGAGTGTTCATACCGCAGGAACTACATAATTGTACTCACATATTCATTAGAAGAGATGATGTACAACCACCTCTGCAGCCGAATTACGACGGTCCATTTAAATTGATTACGAGGACAGAGAAGACGGTTACCGTAGAAAAAGCTGGGAAGATAGATGTAATCAGCATCGATCGAGTGAAACCAGCTTTCATCGATAGCGATTTTTAATCTACAAGTACAAACCCCTCGAAGATGGTCCTACCAACGAAATACGGGTCTCAAGAATCAACGACGCTAGCGCATCTGAATTAGGAGACTCCGATAACGACAAGATCTGGTTCTGAACAGTATCTCATCAAGAATTCGTACATTGAGTACCTTTAAATGTCTACGGAGAATCATAAAACTGATCCTATCCCTGAATTGTCTCCCCACTATTTAGAAACTCATAGTGATGACCAACTCGGAGGAAATACCTACCGAATGGATCCCTTGTTAGAGTTAGAATTAGCTAAAGTACGTTTAGCTCAGACAGAAAGGGAAATTGAGTTAGAACGGTTACGTCAAAAGGGAATAGAACATTATAATCAAGTTGTGGTTGACAAGGCGATGACGTATGAGTCTACATCTGCCTCGCATGCAATTGATGTTCGTCCTGGAAAGGACTGGGTAACAATGATATTTATAGTTTTAGACCTACCAAAGAAAAAGATCATAAGGTTTGATGGCAACCCTATGAACTATTGGAGCTTCATACGGAATTTTGAGGACTGTTTTGATGAGTGCATCGGATTCCGATCTAGGTTAAACTATTTGATCCAGTATTGTGATGGTGAAGCTAAACCTACTATTGTTCATTGCTCATTGCTCGAGCCAGAAGAAGGCTATCGTAAAGCGCTAGAGCTTCTCAAGGAAGCATTTGGTCAGAAGCACATGGTAGCCCATGCACTTATTGATAAGATGCTGAACATCCCTGCTATTAAGGGGACTGATCCAGATAATTTGAGAAGACTGTCTCGTGAGATGCATATTTGTGAGCTAACACTCGCGCAGATGAACTATGTATCCAATCTTAATTCTACAAAGACTATCAAATGCATGTTTTTAAAACTCCCACTACACTCGCAAAGAGAATGGGTTAAAGTTGCATGTAGAATTCTTAAGACAGGTAGAGAACCTTCATTCAAGGACCTCTGCGAATTTGCAAAGGAACAGACAGATATAGCTAACACCAGATACGGCCTAATTGTCACCCGCGGTAATAATAGTGATAAAAGGGATGTTAAATAAGAAAGAAAGGTTAGTTCAGCGAGGAGTTCTCTTTTCGGCGAATTCATTTTCAACGCTGTACAATCGCAAATATATATACTTATTTTTACAGAGTGATAATAAACTTCTGTTATACATGGTGACAGTGAGGTTAAATAAACAAAGGTATTAGAAAAAAATTTTTAAAACAAGGAAAGTTTGATAGTTAATGGCTTAAGTATTCATCGAGTAAGGATGGCTCAGCATGATAAAATAACATAAAATGTTGAAACAGAGATGAAATGTAATCGGAATGATCGTGGAAATAAAAACAAACCGGTTGGGGGTAGAAGATTTGAAGGGAAGATGGAAGGTGAAGCAGGTGGCTGTAAAAGAGCAAGAGTATGAAGAAAGAAAAAAAATTTTTTAATACATTAAGACCATGGTAAAAGTAGAGGTTGTACCAGTCTCTTTTGTACACATAATTCTAGTTTTTCAAAATTTATGGCTATTGCTTCGCCAATGCAAAGAAGATGCAGTCTAATTGTCTTAGGAAGGCTTCTACTTACCATGTAGATGACTTTGAACGCAGAGTCTGTCTTGATTGAGTGACCTGTGTTCACAAGGTGTTCGATTATAGAACTTCTTATTGAGCCGTTGCCTCCTCTTCTTAGCCACGCCGGACGATGTTCTTGAATTCTTTTGGATAAAGTACACATCGTGGCTGGAGACACCATACTCTGTTACACGAGAAGCGGGAAGAGTAGAGAGATAATAATATTAATACCCAAATTATTACCCAACTATGTACGGAGGAAAGTGTTAAGTGTGTACAGAAACAAGTAGCATTTGCAATAGTGCCTGTATTGGTAAAAAATGGAGAAAAAGCAGTACAGACTTGCGCTTTCCTAGATAGTGGCTCAGACGCTACGCTTATTACAGAAAATTTAGCTAGATAGGTTGGGTTTAGAAGGAGATTCCAAGACGATTTTATTGAAAATGCTGGATAAACGGTTCACATTTCATTGTAAGGAGATCCGACTAGAAATTTCCTCCTTAGATTCGTCTTCATCATTTAGAATCCCAAATGTATGGACAGTTAAGAGACTACCTATGTTGCGTCGGACGGTACCAACGGCATCTCAGATGGTATCATGGTCTCATTTGCGCGGTATGACCCTTCCAAGAATTCTCAGCGAAGATATCAAAAGACTGATAGGGTACCTTAGTAATCTGGACCACGACTTACACATACGAATTCGATCTAGAAACTCATCATTGCATCTTGGGGTTCCGAAATTTTCTGTTAATACGTGGGCTACAGTGTTCGCAAACTTTTCTAAGTTAGGCCATTTATATAATTGATCTAATCTAGTTACTAGTTCATCTTTGGACGATAGATAATTTATAATACTCATATTTCTTGTGATCTGACTGTAAGGTCCAAATAACGTCCACCCTAAAGGAGTTTTAATAGCGTATGGTTCGTTAGACTTCCCCGCTCTTTCCTCTTTTATCTCATGTGCCTCAGGTACATTGCACCCTATCGAAAGATCATTTACGATACATACAATTAACATTTGAAATATCAATTTCACATGTGCCTAAGAAGTAAACTGATTCTTACAAAAGGACTCTGCAGTTGTATTTTTGGCATTAATCTAGTATAGCTAATGTTTCGTAGTCACTTCAATAGGATCGTAAAGTTATGTACTCAAGATGCCCGGACAAAAATAATTATTGCACCATAGAGCTTCCTAAATAAACGGTTGTAAAAGCTTCATCTTCACTAGTATACTGAATTCAATTTCGTGTACAAAAATTTGTTGCTAAAAAGTGCTATTAAGAAACTTAAGTTTTAGTTATTTATTTACACTTTTCACATGTTGATATTTTGATCACCATTTGACTAAATCTGTACGAAATAAATTCTCATGACACATGAATCATATTTATTAAGTTAGCTTAAGATAATCAGGAATTCACTTGAATTCTCATCTTGAGCTAACTCGTTCTCATTCACCATTCTTGTAACAAATTTCAGGATTTTATTAGTTTTGTAATTATCTGAGAAATTAAAATTTAAACAGTACAGGCTTTTCACTTGTCAATCTAACCCAAGCTTCACCAAATAATCAAGATTATTAGATTCGTAAACAATTTTGTGCCAAAAAGTTCTTCAATTGTGTTTGTGTTGATTTTGTATATAGTGAGAGTATGAGTCATCCTAACAATTTCGCGTCTATATACGTGATGTCCAATTTTCGTGAAGCTGTTCTTACAGATCTCTTAGTGTTCCTATAAAGTATGGATAAAATCAATGTTTTTATTCGTATTTTTAGAACATATGTTTTCTTTTGTTTATAAAGCCCTATATTTCTGTTTCATTTTTTTTCAGGGTTCGTCTCCTTCTAGTCCACTGCCTCGTAAACATCGCCATTCATCTGGAAGTGACTCTGCAGTCGGAGCTATTACAACGCGATCTAAATAAAGTTCATGTCATTTTGTATCTACATTATTAAAGTTATTGTAAAATATAATATTATTTCTTAGTTGGTTTTTGTCTATTCGTTTTTTAATCTTACAGTTACGTAAACACTTTATGTGTTTCATCTTCTAGAATTTATGAATGCCTTTCAAGCTTAAAGCCATATCCAATTTCGATGTGACGAAAGATGAACGCGATGGAAAAGTGAGTATTTTTATTCCTTGTTAACTAACCTAAAATCATTTGTATACGGTGCATTTAATGGATTAAGAGAAATAAGAAGTTGAGTAACCGATATTTAGTTACATACTCCTCGTGAAACATAGGCCGCCGGTCAGGATTATCCAACCAACTCTATCCTGGGCTCTCCTTTCCAGTTTATTTCAATCACTGTTCATTCCTTTGATATCTGCCTCTGATTCTCGATGTAATGTGTTCTTTAGGCTTCCTCTTTTCCTTTCCCCTTCAGGATTCCAAGTTAGCGCTTGTCTCGTTACGTAGTTTGGTGATTTCAGCAATATATGTCCTATACACTTCCGGCGTCATTTCCCGATTTCCTCTTCATCTGGAAGTTGGTTTGTTCGCTCCCACAGTAGGTTGTTGCTAATGATATCTGGTCAACGGATTTTGGGTATCTCGCGTAGACAACTGTTTATAAATACTTGTACTTTTTGACGATGGTTGTGGTATTCTCATAGTTTCAGCCTCGTACACTAGAATTGTCGTGATGTTCGTGTTGGAGATTCTGAGTTTGATTTTGTTTGACAGTTGTTTTGAGTTCCGTATGTTCTTCAATTGTAGGAATGGTGCTCTTGCTTTATCAATCAGTACCTTTACATGTGTATCAGCTCCTCCTTGTTTTTCTATGATGCTGAGTTTCCGCCTCTTCCATTGTTTCTGCATTAAGTGCGATGAGGTTGGGTGGTATTTCAGGATCTTGCTTTATGTGTTGTGTATTTTGAGGTTTACTGATGCACAGAACGCTGCCATGCTAGTTGTTTTCATCTGTATTTGTTCGTGTGTATAAGATAGAAGAGCTGGGTTACGTACGAATTCCAAATCGTCTAGTTGTATCTAATTTGTCTATTGTATTTCGTGCTTCCTTTTTGATGTAGAGATTTTCGTAATCCAGCCAACCACCGGAAGAAAGGGAAGGAGAGAGTGAGAGTAAGCAGCCTTGCCTTACTCCAACCCTCACTTGAAATGCATCTGCCAACTTTCCTGCATGCCCCACTTTACACTGCAGTCCGTCGTATGAAATTGAAAATCTCAGGTACACCATAGTGTCGAGAAAGTTTTCATGCGGTTCTATTATCCGCGCTGTCAACTTCCTTCTCATGGTCATTGAAGTTTATGTATAGTGACGAGTTCCATTCAACCAATTGTTCAACAATGATCCTTACTATCGCGGTTTGGTCTGTGCACGACTAATCCTTACGGAATCCAGCCTGTTGATCTAGAAGTTGGACGTCTACTGCGTCTTTCATCCGGTTTAGCAACACTTGAAAACGTTTCTTGGTACTGACAGTAGTGTGATGTCTGTGTAGTTCTCACATTTGCTCAGATCACCTTTCTTTGGTATCTTGATGAGGTGTCCTGTAGTAAGCCCATTCAACTACTGTATCATTTATGTGCTCACTGTAATTTACACACTTAATCCACTATGTAAATTTCTGTGTGTCTGATTGAGCACATGTTGTACATCAACTTTAATCTATTCTCCCATTGGTTGTAATACACAGACAATCAATAATTTATCCACACTTGATTATGACTCATAAATATATATGGATTTTTAACACTCATATATACACACACACTCTTGGTTTCACTGTGTGCTTGCTTTCTGTACGCTTGCGGATCTTATTAATCTTTAACAATAAAATATCTCTACAACTGGTGTTCAGGCTTCTGAATAATCTCGAGTAAATCCATAACTCTACTAGGAGATTTAGCCAGCGTTAAATACTTAGTTAACGGGATAGCATTTATTGCAATAAGATATAAGGGAAATTTGCCTCTACAGTCCTTCCCAGTCTCTCTGTGGCACTTGTTATTCCTCTCAAATCTTCCTGAATAAAACGTGAAGCACGTATGCAGTTGCTTCTATGTCTGACTTCAGAGCTTCAGGTGCTATATTATCAGGTCCTGCTGCTTGCCCACACTTTATTTGTCTGATGACCATCCTGATTTCGATTGTTGGTGGTGTGACATATATAGGTAGACTTGTGTGTGCTGTTTCATTGTCTGGTGCGTTCTTTGGGGCTAGTCTATTCAAGAGTTTTTCAAAGTTCTCTACCTATTTATTGCGCTTGTTCTTGAATCTCAGTGATTGTCCTGCATTTTTTGTTCTTGACTAGTCGCTCTGATTCATTATGTTTCCTTGCTAGTTTTTTTCATTGTATCATATTTCCTTCGTTTGTAGCTTATTCCGCTGTCGCTGCTATGTCTTTCACGTATTTCAAATTGTCAGCTTTAATGCTCCTCTTCACTCTCTTGTTTGCTTCTGTGTATTTGATTTGTGCCTTGATTTTCTCTGTTCTTGTTCGATTGCTGTTAACTACTATCTTCTTGTTCTTCCTTAATCTTGTCTAGGGTGTGTACACGTTTTTGTAGGAATATTGTGCCGCCTATTATCATTTGGTTGAATGCACATAAACTTGTGAATCTGTCACCATTCTCGTTCCTTTCTCCCAGTCCATGTCATCTCATGGTATCTTTATACACGTTGTTGTCCATTTCGGGCTTCGAACCAGGACTAAATCTTGAAGGGCTACGGATGGAATTAAGTAACTGATAGAAGTTCGGCAAATCACTTTTATAGATCGATTATTTGAGGTGTCGGGTATAATGTAATCCATTGAAAGAGAATTAATTACCATCTTTTCTTTTTTTTTACCTGTAAGAAGAAATTATTTGATAGCTAAAACAAAGCGTATTTTAGTGAGTGAGAAATTAAAGGTTTGTAAAAGTTCTTAAGTGGTTGTGCTTGTTATGTTACTTCTGTAGTTATTTCAATAGATGAGATCATGAGTCGATTGAAGCTAGACCACTATGAAAAACCTGAAACACTGGATGGTCGTTTCGTCCTATTGTGGGACTCCTCAGCAGTGCGCATCCACGACCCCGCCTCCAGGTTTTCCATAGTGGTTTATCTTCATTTAACTCATGATCTCAACTATGGAAATTACTACAATCTCCACAAAACCCCTTCTGATACTTCTGTAGTTGTCAATTATTATGGTGTATTACTTTTATAACTACTTTATTTTGATTATCAGTAGCTTACTCATAAAATTATTTCTCCATTTCACAAGGTTCGTGATGTATGTGATCATGCTGTTTGGAGTCTTTCTTCATGTAAACCAGGTCATGGTATCGACCAATTGTTGAGTGAATCTACTGATACATTTTGGCAATCAGATGGTCCACAACCACATTGTGTTAATATACAATTTCCCCGAAAAATGGTTCTTTCAAAATTATGTTTATACACTGATTACAAAGTTGATGAAAGTTATACACCTAGTAGGTCAGTGTTTAAAGTAAAATCTGATCTCACATAATATTTTTTGTGAATATACATGTTCATAATATAAATTGTGCGCATTATAATTCATGACAATAAATATCGTAGTCAGTGTAGTAGATAACTTCTATACGTCACTAAAATTATCAAAAAAATAAACATAAAAACAGATGTTTGAGCCTATATCTCACTCAAATACCTTCCTAACAATTTATCAGGGGATTCATTGGCTACCAAATTTTGTGCATGCAATAACACTAGATGAGGAATTATATTCGGTCTCAGTAATTTGTAAACAGTGTATTTACTCAGGATTTTAAATAACTTAGTTTCAGATATCAATATTTGGGTATTAGGAATCTTCGGGTGGATATATCTGCATTTCAATTCAGGTTGTTCGCATGGACTCTAACTCGGCTTTGGGGCGATAGACTATAATTAGTGTGTCAGAACCCTGGTGAAATCTACAACTGTAATGCATTAGATATTCGACTCAGCCAGCAAACTGTGAATAAAAGGGAATATGTTTTATATTCATCTATCAGAGCCCAGGACGTTTGTTCCTCTCGAGCTTGCTTTCGTCAACGTAGCATTACTGCGATCCTAATATCTTCCTTACCACACTCAATACGTGGTGTATGCTACTTATTTCTGTCGACATAAGACGTATGTAGCACCAATCAAAAGTGGAAGGACTGGCAGCAGAAGGCTAAGAAGATTGGATTGAAGAAAACAGAAACTGAAATAGAAAGGAACTGTGAATTGGATGAATCAAAGAGAATGTAAAGGACAATTGACGGAGGATTCGCAAATGAAGCGTTTAATGTATGGTTTTCATATTTTACAAGGACCTTCTGTAGTTTCATATGAAATAATAAATTTGTTGTCTCCACGTGAGTGTTCGTTTATTACAGCCTTTCTGTTAGTTGTTTATCGTCACATCTTCCGATCCGTTTGTACCTTTATCTTATTGTTACTATTGATAAGATATAATAATGAATCTTACCATTACTAACTACATTGTCGATTTTTTAATTTCCTTTTCCAGGTTGGCCATACGAGTTGGGAATACTATACACGATCTTATCGAACTTCTAGAGGTGGAACTACAGGAACCTACTGGGTGGTCAGTGATTCCACTAAACTGGCCTGATGGATCTCCGTTACGAACCTTTCTTTTACAGATTGCCATTTCAGCTAACCATCAAAATGGTCGTGACACACATCTGCGTGCCATCCGACTTCATAGTCCTGTGGAATGTCGTGGCTTAGACACCTTAGCGCCTTTTGTCAGTCGCGAAGGTCGTGCTTTCATGACTATTCGTTAGTTTTTATTGTTTCTTCTATCGTTTACTTATAACTAAGTTATATTGTCAACTGCACTTCAAATCATTTGCAGTCATAGGTTATTAGTAATACCTAGTGACTTTGGTTAATTTTGTGGTTTCGGCTGTCATATTTGTGCACGTCACTGTATTGGTTTAGAGCAAATGGTTTGTTAAATATTTTATATTTGGTGAAGATTTAACCATATCGGCAATAATCTACGGTGGTTCATGACTATTTAACCATTATCGCGAAGTAATTAATTTTTTTCTTCCACCTTTCATTTCTAAAAGTTAAATCTTTTTGATCTTCGTCTCATTTAATAGTATATGGACAAATATCCACCAACACTTTCACGCCGAAATTATCTTATGGAAAGTACATTAACTTCATCTACTAAGCTGGGTCTTTTATCAGTTAGTGATTTGATCTTTCGTTGACGCATTGTACAAGTTTTGGAAGTTTTTATTTTTTGTTTTCTTCCCCTATTTAAAAAAACAGCTAATTTCCAACACACCTTTCGAGTCCTAAGTTCGTCGTTAGTTACCTTTTATTCAAAGATCTGTTAAAAGTATCGGTATCACATATAACAAAGTTCATCCCTTGCGAATAATTCGCTACTAGCTGTTATGATATGTGGTCTGTCAATTCGCACGCGATAAGTTCGCCGATCGGAACACGATTCATACAATCTTAGTACTCTGCTAAACCAATGGCGTGTTGAGCAGTACGAGGAACCTAGAGTCATTATTAAACTAGACTTTACGTTATCTTACGTGAAGGAAAACAATAAAGATACAGTTCAAGTGATTTTGATAAAGTGTCAGTAACACGCGTACACGTTACTCAGATTGACTATGAGCAACCAACATTCACTCCAGAGTGAGGAATGACGGTTTCGAAGGTACTCAAATAACACGTATGTAAGTGCCCTCAAACTAACTCAACCTCCATACTGTATCCATAATTCAAGACTGTGTTAATCCATTGCAGTCTGACAGATTTGTAGGGTAAGATGTTTCACCAATGATACATCTTGGGTGCCTGGTCCTACGTTGTAGCTGACTGACTGACTGAATGATACATCCTATCAGTCCTATGGAATTCATGAATACACAGGTTAATCTAATAGTCGGATCTGTTTGATGGGCCAACGTACTTAGACGATATATCACCAACCAAACACAACATAGTTAGTCTTTTATACACCATTTTGTCAAACAATTGTTAGAGTATGTGAATTCTGTTATGACTTTCGTCCTGTTAATTACCATTTGACAAAATCGCCAATCCGAACACTGACTTATATTACCTTGTTCTTATGCTAAACCAATAACATGTCAAAACAGCACTAGCAGACTTGTGTCAACTCTGAACTCCTGTTGATCTTTCTTGCCCAGCACTTTCCGTTGAGTCCAGAAAGTAATCTCAGCCTCCACTCTATGAATAATATATTTCAGACGCACATGGTTTATGTACAGGTGAACCAAGCCACGTCTTGCCATAAAACAAAAAACCATTATACAGGACCAAGTTAAGAAGTGGTTGTACCTAATAAATTGGGAACGATTTAGTAATAGTAAATCGTACAATAGTAATCAACAGGTCAAATAGAAGTTTATGACAAAAGAAATGTAAATATATGTGGTCTAGTTACTTAACAGTTGTGCAATAGGAATGCATATATAATAAGAGTCTGTAAATAGTTCCTGTAAGTTACCCATACACTATTTTTTTCGTATATGGCAGTAGCCTTCTGTCTTATCGCTTTAATAAACATGTAACGATGACGAAATTCGCTCGGAAGAGAGCTATGTCTGGCAATGATGGTTCAGTCGAGCAAATTTTCACGATGCTTAGAAGTGGTATGACCACGTTCCATGAGTTGTGTATATTTGAAACCTGATTTACTTGGTGATCTTATTATTGGTTAGAGAGACAGGAATCAATTGTAAAAAATACATCAAACGAAACAATAATTTTGGTCTATAAAACACCGTTTAGATACATGCTTAATAATGACAATTATGTTATATTTCAAGAAGAAGACTTTAGAGTCCTGCAGCTGCGTAACTTTATATTTAAATGCTGTTTGAAATTTAGTCAATGACTTCCGGAAGTTGTCTAGCCTTATGTGATAAGCAAGCATTATAATTTCCTTTTATTCATGGTTGACTAGAAGAGCACTCAATACTGTTTCAATCAATGTTGTATCTGAATCGATTGGTGAACTTTTCCAGTCAGTTGTATCCTTAGTTCAGTCGCAAAAATGAATCAGTGCATAAAAGCCACTTAATTAGTTCTCGAGTGTATGTTCGTTGGTGCGGTCATGGCACAGATAGATTCTGCCGTTTTCGTTGTCGAGTGCTGCCATGTAATATCAGTCAAGTTGTTAGAATAAGGAAAGGCATGGTTTTTTTGTGCAGGTGAATTCAAGTTCTTTCATGATTCTCATCCACATTTCATCACTATTTTATATTGTATATTATACTCATTGATATTCGGCTCCTGATTCTATTGTCAGTTATTTGAGCACAGCATGAAATTTCTTCTCTTCTATGTATATGAATAAAATTTTAGTATTCCGTTTATTATTACTATGATTGTAACTTCCTAATGTTTGTAACAGTTCTATTTCACGCGTTCATTGAACTTCTGTTGATTTGTAATGTATCCTAATTTTGTATTTCCATTGTTCTCATATCACTTGTTGACAGTCATTCTTTTTAATAACTGTCGATATTTGCTGTTTAGATTATCGCCTGTTAATAACTTTTTCATGACTATCTTAAGAATCTGTCTAATTTCGAATACATTTGCGTGTACAAATGCTGTAAACTACCTACAAACGAAAATTTGTAAACATTCCAGATATATCTTCGTAGTAATGGTAAAAATGTATGTATCGATTCCTCTGTTCCGAACTCCACGATTTCATCTGTAACCAAGTCGGTCGCTTAATTTGTTCGATCTGTTAAATATCCTGTGGAACCACTCTTTTGTTTTACAAAATTTTCTATTTTACTGTAATAATCTAAGTATCGCTTCTACGTTTCATTTCTTTGTTAACCGAAAACTGCCGACGGTACAAATAGGGCACACAGAACTAGGTAATAATATGCGTCTACATGGTAACACGTGTAATACTAAAATTATTTGCTGTCCCTAGTTGGGTGTACGAGTACTGATTGAGATGCATGAATGTTTTAACGATTTCTTTATGATATTGGGAATTAAGACAGCTCTTGTAGTGACTCACGTTTATCACGAAAACACGACTGGTTTAATAAAAACAATTATTACTATAACCAACTGTACCAGTGTTTGTTTAACTGTGCTAAAAAGCATCCATTATTCTTACACACTTTTTGATTGTGACTTCGCGCGAATTCGGTTACGTTCTGTAACCAGGCTTGTATTCTGGGACGATCTCGGTATCCTTTCGATACCACGAGATCGCCAGCAAATATATCTCGATTTGGTCCATTAACTGCCTCCTGATATTTGGCTTGTCGTGGATTTTATGGATTTATTTGGTTACGTTCAACCTTCGCCTTCTGATTTACTTGGCATGTTTTTTGGTAGCGGTGTTCATAGTCAATTACGACTCGACTCCACGCTACACTCTCATGCTGTACGAAAGGCATAGAAGCGGAGCTCTTTCGTATAATACCACCTGACTTATCGATACCATTCCACAATGAGAAACAAATGAGTTGACGGAAGAAAAAAATACCTGGTGAGCGTACTAGTAGTACATGAAGTATGTATCTATAGACGTGGGTGTGAATGATTTATGTCATTTCCACTGATTTGAACGCATAGTTCTGTAGTCGCATTGGGCAATAACCACACAATCCTCAAAGCTGAACACAACAACTCGGAAAATAGATATTCAATATTTAACGCGGAGAAACACCTAACGATGGAAAAGGCGGGAACAGTTAATTGAATGAATTGGAGTTGATCGAATGGCATAGCTCGGCCATACAGGCGTGGTCCCTGCTGAATATTACCTTATATGTTTTATCCATATTAAATATATTGTTCTTTCTCCAGCCTAAGCTTGTTCTTCATCATGTATTGGTAGTTGTGTAGTGGCATTGAACAATAACCGCACAATCCACAAAGCTGAACACGAGACTACTCAGAAAATAATATTCAATATTTAGCTCGGATAAATGCCTAACGATGGAGAATTCGCGAACAATGAATTGAATGTACTGGAGTTGATCGGATGGCATGGCTCGGCCATGCAGGCGTGGTCTCTGCTGAATGTTACCTTATATCTTCTATTCATATTAAATATATTGTTCTTCCTCTAGCCTAACCTTGTTCTACATCATGTATTGGTAATTGCTATGATACAGCGAGTTGGTGTAGTCGATGGTGTGACTTCCACGTATGATCTTATAGATTAGGCAGTTACATCATGACAAATCTACAATTTAGGATTAGGTCTATTATTAGGGCAGTACTAATATCATAGTAGACCATAGTTCTACATTGGTGAGCCCGACGTGATTCGAACACGCAGCCTTCTGAGTTGGTGTAGACGATGATGTGACTTCCATGTAAGATCTTATAGATTAGGCAATTTTAGGATTAGGTCTATTATTAGAGCAGTACTAATATCATAGTAGACCATAATTCTACAGTTCCATCCATAATTTCGCTCATTTCAAATATCGGCTTGTTCAGTAGGTAAATTTAATATGAAACCCAATGAAATGCATCCCAGGTTATTAAATTGACTTGAGAACACCTTAATGAAACTAATAAATCTGGGATCCATTGCATAATACCAAGTGCTTGGAGTAGCGTGATAGTAAGTTCTATCTTCAAAACATGTATGAGGCATCAAAATGAAAACTGCAATGACATTAGGTTATTCATCATGGTTTAAAGATACTAAAGATTATTACAGGCTCTTTCATCGACTTTAATGTAATATGTGACAAAATGTTACACAATAGACTCAATATACTGATGTGTGAAATGAAGTAAAAGTGTGTGGATAGGTAGTTTCCAAGTAAGGTGGAATAAACAATATTTAATTTTATGATGGTTAGCAGTATTTGGATTATTGTGATAGATGTGAATTTACGAAACATTGCAATTTACAGCAAGTAGAAGTAAATGTGCACTACTGATCGTAATATATTTAGAGTTCTTAATGACTTCAACTTTCCAACAGAAACGACGGACTTGGTACTGCTAATTCAACAACAAAGTCGAAGAAAGCATCAGTGGACAAATGCAATCGTTTTTGAAATTGAAGTGAGTTACTGTGTGATTATCAAAAGCGCCAAAATAATCAAGATCCCTATTGCAAAGCAACCGAAAACAGCTATCATTACTCCCTTTGGACTCTATGAATTTTTGCGAATGCCTTTTGGTCTAAATAACAAGGCTCAAACATTCCAAAGGTTCATAGACGACGTTTTTTGAGGTCCCGACTTCGTACATGCGTATGTTGACGACTACCTAATAGCAAGTCCGGACAGAGAATCGCATCTCCAGTATCTGGATCTTGTTTTCGACTGACTAGAAAAACATGGCATTACTGTAAACATTCAGAGATGCCAAGTCATTAGACTTTCTGGGACACACCATCGATGCTCAAGGAATTCGACCCCTTAGAACCAAAGTGGCGGCCATTCTGGATTACCCAGAACCTACCACCGTCAAGCAATTACGCACGTTTAACGGCCTTGTAAGTTTCTATAGACGTTCATGCTAAACTGCGTGTCACTTATGAAACCACTAACTGACCAACTTCGTGGAAATGCGAAATCCATCAATTTGAAAGTTACCACTCGAATAGCGTTCTCCACAATTAAAGAACTTGTCGCATAAGCAGCCTTACTTGCATATAAGGACACTAAGGCACCCATTAGTATCGTGGTAGACGCATCCGACTCAGCAATCGAAGGAGTCTTACAACAATGGGTTAACAGCTCATGGCAACCTTGGCATTTTTCTCTAGACGGTTGCTAGACACAGAATCGAGGTACAGCACATTCGGTAGGGAACTCCTAGCTATGTATTTTCAACACTACATCGAAGGTCGTGAATTCATCCTTTTCACTGACCATAAACCACTCACCTTCTCTCTAAGCTCTACTTCCGACAAGTACTCTCCTCGTGAGTCTCGACAACTGGACTACATTTCGCAGTTTACTTCAGATATTCAACACATCACTGGAGCAATCAATGTGGTCGCAGACGCCTTGTCTCGCATAACTTCCTTGAACAGTTTCCGAGGAATCGACCTTCTTAAACTCGCCGAGCTTCAAAAAGAAGACACTGATCTTCAGCACGAGTTGTCGTCTACAACACTCAAGCTATGCATTAAACAGATGGGAACAGGTAAGGAAACCTTACTATGTGACACATCTACAGCTATGGATAGCACAATCGTGCCGAAACATTGTCGACGCAACGTCTTCAATACGTTGCACAACATTTCTCATCCAGGTGTCGGTGACACCATTAAGCTTATAGCAGAAGGTCTTGCTGGCGTGGTATGAATAAAGACGTGGGGGAGTGGGCACGCTCCTGTGTAAGCTGTCAAAAATCTAAAATTATGAGACAATAAATGTCCCTCAGGCTCATTTAAAACTCCCGCTGCTCTTTTCGACCATGTTCATCTGGATTTGGTAGGACCTTTACCAGATTCAAATGGATACTCTCATCTCTTAACCTGCGTAGACCACTTCACTCGATGGCCAGAAGCAGTACCTATCAAGGACATCACTGCTGAAACAGTGGCCCGCGCCTTCGTCAAACGATGGGTAGCAAACTTTGACTGCCCTTCAACCATCACTACAGATCGCGGACGTCAGTTCGAATGTGAACTTTTCCGTCGTCTGACCACACTTTTAGGAATCACTCGCTTCCTACCACTCACAAGCAAACGGATCGGTTGAACGCTTTCACTGACAACTGAAAGCCTCACTATCAGCTGCAAACGTTTCACAGTGGACCGACGCTCTTCCACTCGTCTTGCTAGGTATCCGCAACGCAGTGAAGGCTGACATTGGATACACTGCGGCTCAACTCGTTTATGGAACGACACTTCGACTTCCAGGAGAATTCGTGGATCCTTCGTCCTCTTCAATGAACAGGGATCTAACCTCTCGCACGAACAGGCTCACAAACGCAATGCGTTCAGTTAAACCTGCTTCCACTCGACTTCAATCAACTGAAGTTTTCGTTCAACCTGACTTACGATATAGTACACACGTCTACGTACGTCGAGACTCGCATCGACGACCATTCGAATTAGCATACGAACGACCTTTCAAAGTTCTTCAACGCGAAACGAAGTACTATATAGTCGATAAGAACGGAACCAACGATAGCATCAGCATCGATTGCCTCAAAGCAGCGTATTTAGAGGAGAATCCTATCCACGTCAATTTTCCTTCGGCACAATCGAACCACACGACTCTGACACTTATAATAGCAATTAACGATAGGCAGTGCGAACAAAGGAGATCAACAAACTTATTTATGGGATACATTGTGTTAAAATTAAAGTGAAAGTTGTAAATATTCATTCCTTGAAATCGAAAATAACCGTTCAAATATTGTTTGATGGACTATTCTTCCTTACGTATAAACACCCGATGAACAGTTTTAATTCTCTAATTGGAATCGCGCTTTTTTACTTTTGTTACTGAAGGTCAAGGTAAGATGCAAGTCTAGTATGTGGGTCTGTAAGAAGTTTATAAATTTTAGTCATTCGTATAATTTTCGTTTCTGTTTTCATCGTCTTTGTAAAAAATAAAGCGTGTCTTATATTACTCAGTTTGAGCTATGATTATATTATACTCACGCTTCTACGTTCTCGCGTCGAGACTAATTTATGGACGAGCCAATCAGAAGCATCTGAGCAATTTCAAGGTCACGGAGTCAAGTTCAACAACTGATGCTCACATACGATCGGTTTACTGCGGCTTTTAGAGAAGAGGTGATTATTGAGAGGCTACAAGATATGAGACTACTAAGAAGTTCTTGTACCTGTGACTGCGGTTATCAAATGACTGTAGTAAAGTGTGCAGACTACCGTGATGATATTGTATTTCGTTGTTCTTCATGTTGGATGAAAAAGTCTGCTCGAACGGGGACTTTCTTCGCTCGATCGCGACTGAAACTGAGGCAGATCATGATAATAGTTGCAAATTGGATAATAAAGTCACCAGTAACACTGGCTGTGGTGTTTGCAGATGTTACTGAAACTTCAGCAGTCCAGTGGTTTGATTATTGCCGTGACATATGTGCAATTAAAATGACATGTCTACACCAATCATTCGAAGGAGTAGGATGTATTGTGGAGATAGATGAAACAGTAGTGGGAAAGTGAAAATACAACAGGGGACGTAGTATCAAGGAAGATTGGGTAAGTAGCACTTCCGTAAATATACTTGACAGGTACTTGGAATTTATGATCGATCAACGCAAAAGGGACATTTTCAGAGGGTCAGAAACCGGCAAGCAGGCACAATAATACTAATTATACAGGAATACGTGCAGCCGGGCAATACAGTATATACGAATGACTGGAGAGCTTATAGATGCCTATATAGACTTGGTTATGTGCATCATGTCGCAGTGCACAAGCGCCATTTCGTCGACCCTACAACCAGCGTTCATACTAATAATATTGAAGCAATGTGGTCCAGACTGAAGGAATTTTTAAGACCGTACCACGGCTCTAGAGGACGATTATTATGGAGCCATATGGACGAGTTCCTATACTGTATGCATTATGATTTCAGAACATCTGAAACTTTATCAAACCTTAAAATGTTTTTAAATCATGTAAAGAAAAATATCCACTGTAATTCATTAGTTTGTTATAATATATTTTTACTTTATACTAATTGTCTTCTGATTGTCTAATGATTGTCAAGATCATTTAAGATTCCTTCAAGGCTCGTCCATAAATTGGGATCTCGCCGGATATTTTTCTTTTACATGATTTAAAAACATTTTAAGGTTTGATAAAGTTTCAGATGTTCTGAAATCATAATGCATACAGTATAGGAACTCGTCCATATGGCTCCATAATAATCGTCCTCTAGAGCCGTGGTACGGTCTTAAAAATTCCTTCAGTCTGGACCACATTGCTTCAATATTATTAGTATGAACGCTGGTTGTAGGGTCGACGAAATGGCGCTTGTGCACTGCGACATGATGCACATAACCAAGTCTATATAGGCATCTATAAGCTCTCCAGTCATCCGTATTTACTGTATTGCCCGGCTGCACGTATTCCTGTATAATTAGTATTATTGTGCCTGCTTGCCGGTTTCTGACCCTCTGAAAATGTCCCTTTTGCGTTGATCGATCATAAATTCCAAGTACCTGTCAAGTATATTTACGGAAGTGCTACTTACCCAATCTTCCTTGATACTACGTCCCCTGTTGTATTTTCACTTTCCCACTACTGTTTCATCTATCTCCACAATACATCCTACTCCTTCGAATGATTGGTGTAGACGTGTCATTTTAATTGCACATATGTCACGGCAATACTCAAACCACTGGACTGCTGAAGTTTCAGTAACATCTGCAAACACCACGCCAGTGTTACTGGTGACTTTATTATCCAATTTGCAACTATTATCATGATCTGCCTCAGTTTCAGTCGCGATCGAGCGAAGAAAGTCCCCGTTCGAGCAGACTTTTTTCCTCCAACATGAAGAACAACGAAATACAATATCATCACGGTAGTCTGCACACTTTACTACAGTCATTTGATAACCGCAGTCACAGGTACAAGAACTTCTTAGTAGTCTCATATCTTGTAGCCTCTCAATAATCACCTCTTCTCTAAAAGCCGCAGTAAACCGATCGTATGTGAGCATCAGTTGTTGAACTTGACTCCGTGACCTTGAAATTGCTCAGATGCCTTCTGATTGGCTCGTCCATAAATTAGAGTTTCGCCGAATATCCACTGTAATTCACTAGTTTTTTATAATATATTTTTACTTTATACTAATCGTCTTCTGGTTGACTAATGATCGTCAAGGTCATTTAAGACCCCTTCAAATTTCGTCCATAAATTAGGGTCTCGCCGTTCGTCTTTGGAATAGATCTGAAGGTCGCTTCGCTGTTAAAGTCTTTATTTTATAGATATTTATATAATTTGCTATTTTTTGTTCATTTTGCGCATGTAAAAAATTAGAAATGTATTTTTTGTCAAACATTGTATATCCTGTCTGGAAGCAATGCCAAAATTGTTTTCATATTTCTCTTCCAACCATCCGTTTTTAATTGGACGGTTTTTATGATATATTTACATATTTCTGAAGCTTAGCTTTCGAGTTCCTAAGCGATATTTGTGCTTTAGAGAATTTCTTGCGCGATGACATTTGATATACTGTCGTAGACGTTTAACTTCACACTAAAATGCGTAACGAATTCGCCATATATTGTCGTTCTTTGGAATTTTGTTTATGGTTTTTATTATTGTCGGTTTACTTCCATCCTTTATTTTACGGCGTTGTGGTCGGCTGTGTGGTTTCCGCAATGCAGTATTTACTATTATTTCATTTCGTTCGCTCTTGTTGATATTTGCATAACCTTTTGAATGCGACAGATGCAAATGTGACTGCAACTAGTTGTATATCTGATCCTGTCTAGGTCTGTCTTGTTGTCTATCTTTAGTCATCCCTTGTGGTCTGTAGGTAAATAAGATCATTGATTCGTGTTCATCAAGGGAAACGTGTGAATTGTGTTGTGTTACCTTCCGTACTGCTTGTTACATGTAAAGGTCGATGTTTTTCTGTTTAACCACATTCTAACCAGCTTCTATGAACAAAGAATAATAAACACACACCATGCTGTAACTCGTCTGATTATATTTGGTAATTTACATAAATATCTAATTAGTTTTATGTTTAAGTCATTAGGTTTAAACCCGTCCTTACGATAGTAGGTCGTTTGACCTGTGTTAATCCGTGGAAGCTGTCCTCCTGCGTAGATCCAGCTTCCACATGAAGGTGTTCTCTGATAGGGCTGGTACCTGGTTATTGAGATAGGGGGTTCCTGTTACTGACTATTCAATGAGATAAACGTAATCCGTTTCTGAATCTATTCGATGACGGTTTTTAAACCATATTGTGATGACTTCTGAGATGATTAGCCATAGGAAGAGCAAAAACACTAGAATGTTAATATAAGCTCACTTCGCGTTTTACTGTCAGTATTGTTAGTACGTCCATGACTTCTAGTACCTTGGTTACAAATGTTTAGCTTCTAGCTTGTAAGAAATCGTGTGGAAGCCAACTCATAATGTAACATCAGTTCATGTAGTCAGTGATTGTTGGTTTGAGCTATGTGGTTAGGTGAAAAATATTTTGTTAGGATAGTCGGAAAAATATACCAATAATTATCGTGTTAAGTCTATGGTGGCCTTGACCTTAAATGTACATTTCTTATTGGTCAATATCTGTTCACTTGTTGAATATTGTACAAAATGTTGTTCTCTATTTTATGGTACGATGTGGTATGCTTGATGGTATATAAACAAAGTATGTTTGAAATATAATGATTCATAACTCAGAGGCTGTGATTTGTGTTCTTGACTCAACTTGCTAAGACAGACAGCGAGGCAGGGCCAATCAGGGCACTAGGTCGTCCATACGTGTTTTTCGTGTTACTGTGATCGATCGATAAAACGCTGCTTATCAAAACCTGCAAGTCCTCACCCGTTACAACATATTTAGTTGGGGTTCGTGTGGTGATCATGTTCATACACTCATACGTACCTTTTCATCCCTTCCGGAACAATATTCTCAGCATTCAGTTATTCTCATCACTACTAAGCATTTCAGTTATCTTGTTTTCTATTATGTCAATTTCATCTCGCTGTTCTGATTTGCGATGGGCATTTAAGCTAACTCACATTTGTACCAATCTCTCTATGTCACTAAACTTTTTCCCAAATGTTTACGGTTTTTAGAGAGATTTAAAATTCTCATATTCAAGGAAATGTTCATTAGAACCGCTATTATGTGATTTTACTAAAACAGCTCTCTGTAATGGATATGAAATGCTCTAGGTAGTACGCTCGATGCTGATTTATTGTTCCATAGACATGAACAAATGCTAAATATTATAAACGGAGAAAACGTAAATATTGAAGAACTTAAAAGATTGTCTATTGACGGTTGTCCCGATTCTAATGGGATCCGTTCTAGAGTTTGGAAGGTAAGGTATTCCTCTACATTTTTCAGTTCCTTTTAAATTATCTTCCTTATAATGTCGAAAAACGACAAGAACGGATCACTTTTAACAGAAGACAATATGAAGGTTATGTAAAGGAATTTGTATTTGAGTCTTGTGTGGCAGATGCTATGCCTGCTGATCATGTAAGTATATTCATTTAGAATTATTGTTACTTCTCTAGCCACTAAATTTAGAACCAGATGGAAATTGGATCGCGTTTTTTTCGCGATAATGAAATTTTACTCCAGATTAACAAAGACTGTCAGAGACTGTGTCCAGATTTTGATTTCTTTCGTCGTCCCACAGAGTATTCTTGTTTATCATTATTTGGAAAGGAAGTACCTGTTGGGGTGTTACGGAGAAGAGGGGAAACCTCTGCACTTCAGGTAAATAGTTCTAAAAATTCTCCTTGATATTTTTTGAGCAAATGTTTTACTTACAAATCTCATGCTCTGGGTTACCAACTTTGCATTGTATTTCGCTGATTCTCGTTGGACATCTCAGAAACTGAGTATTATTTCGTGTAGGATGCTAAGACTTGATTTATTTCAAGGGTTTCCCTGGAATCGTTTCAGTATAAGACAAAGTATAATTGCAACAATGCGCATTTTAAGCACCAGCAATTTACTCAACGGCATATATCGTAAAAGAGGTTTTGTAGTGGTTATGATATTTTATTTTTTTAATATCATAGCTGACTGACTAAATATTTTAATACAAAGACTCCAAGACAAGTTTTACAAATGTTTCATCTATATAGCTTTTGAATGTCGGAAAGCGAAATTGTCTTCCTAAAATGTAGTTACACAGATTGGCTAGTTGTCGAACAGTTAAACGGGAGCTATTGAAGTGAAACTAACATTGAGAAGATTCATTGGCAAGTATATATCGCATTGTCAGTATAGAGTTATGGAGATTGTTAAGTTTCATTGAGATCATGAACCGATCAAAGTTAGACTCTTGTACCAGTAGGCTAATTTTTTTCATAGCTTGATTGATTAAACGTTTTCTGTTAGTTACTAAACATCACTTTTTTTGTTGTATTTTATTCAAAGATAGTTCATGTTACAGTTAACATCAGCTGAACAACCGTTATCAGAAGCCATTAAGTAACTGTCATTGTCACATTCTACCCTAATACAGAGTTATGATTGTTAAAACTACTAAAGATGGGCTATCTAGAGTTTTTAGTAAATACACGTTCTTAGTTTCAACCCAACTACAGTAATCAATGCATTAAAATTCAACTAGCTAGTAATCTAACTCAACTTCTTAGCCGCAGATATGAATGTTTGTCATCTGAGAATTCATTCAACAATTGAAAGGTCTTATACCCCTCAGTTTTTGATAGTTGGTTAATGTAGACTTCTGGTGAAAGATGTATTTTATAATTGTTTCTACGGATTGCTTTTGATTTAAGTATATATTATTGTTATCATAACATGTTTTCAGTGTTCAATTTTACTTGTTTTCTTTCTAGTCCCGTTCATTGAATAAAAATCTTGCTGGTGTTACAGATATGATTCATCTACCTACCTACGCTCCTTTCCAACCAAGCCATCGATTATCTTCTGGTTTAGTAACACAATCACAAGAAGTAAGATAAACCGTAAAAGCGATTGGAATTCGACCTCACCGTATCAGGAACCACATTGGGAAGTGATTGAAAGAATTCTATATGTATATTATAAAACTCATGTGTCTCAGGGTTATGTTCAAGGAATGAATGAAATTATTGCACCGATATACTATGTTTTCGCCACTGACCCCGATGAATCCTGGAGAAGCAAGTTTATTCTGTGTATTTATATATCTGCTAAAGATTGTTGTTAGAAGTTAGGGGCAGGGAACGTGGTAACGAGGGCGAATCGGTTGATGATGTAGTAAATCCCCATCGACTAAAGTAGTCGAGGTGTCTGGTACGAATTACCAAGCATTGTCTACCTCGACGTGTGATGTTGAATGATATAGAATTAGGCTGTGACAAAGCTAAGATTAGTCAGTCCAAAACTTCGTATCGATCGTTAAGTCATTAACAGTGAGACTGAATCATGTTTATGGTGCAAAATACCAGGTCGATGTCAATTAGATTATCGTGTCCAATCGTCACAGATGTGATATAGCATGGCTCCGAATCACTGTCATTTGTGCAGATGTATCCATTCTCTGTCTTCTCTCAGATTTTGAGTCTCTCAATTGACTACATTTTTTTGTTTCAGTAACCTATATTTTCTCCTCGAATCATATATTGTATGTCTAATATTTTGTTACTACTTCTGATAATGTTAGTATTTGTACTACTGTTGCGTTTGTCATAACAGTTTCATCTCCATGATGATGTGGTGCGTCAATTTCAGTCGATGTACATGTTGTCAACCGGTAAAGTCATTCAGATATCTTTTGTGTACTTATTTGTGCAGTGGGTTTAGTAATTATTTCGAGAGTAATCTTCATCAAAATCTTAAAATAATATATTAGTGCATCTGGCCATTTTGTGTTTATTGGATTATCAGTCATATGAACAGTTGGAATATAATTTGTCTCAAGTCGTAAACACCCTAGTTATTGAAAAAAGATTTGTATAGAAAAGATCTCTAAATTTATTTAGGACCGAAATTTTTTTGATCTTTCAACTTGTCTTGTAGCAAAGCAATGAAGACTTATTTATCTAAATCACACTTTTAATTTAGATTTAATTTATTCACTAGGAAGCTTTAGGGGATAACACTTTCTGCTCGTGATTAGTTTGTAGTCATCTGAGAAGTAAAGATACGTCTCTACTGACATTTTTTGTAAATTATAAACTAGTCTGTCGAAAAATACACTGATAATTTATACTCCTGATTTTGCAATTTCTATTTTTGATGTATCGAAATCCTGTTTAATTTTATTACCTCAACTCTTTTCACACAGAATATGCAGAAATGGATACATTTTATTGCTTCAATAACCTTATGACTGAAATTCATCCTAATTTTTACGAAAGTTAGATGGTAGTCATGAAGCTGGTCTAGGTGAGCATTTACGGTTTTCGATTCATTTCTCCTTCATAAAGCACCCGATTTAATGCGTTGTTTATTTAAAAAGAATAACTGGTATTTTAGCCAATATTTCCTCTCATCATACATCATTATTATAATCTTGTAGGTCAGTCACATATCTGCACTGACTAAATATGTACTGTATGAAATTACATCGGGTTTAGTCACTGTATATCAAAATAATTAGTTACGTAGTTTACCTCAAAAGAGTAGGTCAGATGAAATAGATAACCATTACACTAATTTAACACAAAATCTCTATATCATTTTATATACCATTTAGTTGAGTTGCACATTTATCATACATGTAGTGAACTACCAATATGTTACTCGAGTTATTCTCGATTCCTGAGTTACAGCTAAAATCATATCAGAATTATGATAACTTTTTACTTCGAAGAAAATTTTGTAAGAGTAATGCCCCTTATTAAGTTAAGACACTGGTTTATTGGAAAACGCATGTCGAGTAAGAATGTTGGTTGAAGTTTCGCTATTTACCCATGTCTATTAATGCTTTGTTGTAGGTTAACTGATAAAACACAAGGTAATACCCGTTGCATTTAGTTATCGGCTCAAATAACAACGCTGTACAGTGACATGTGAAAAAGGATTCGACATGATTATTAACAAAGGCGTATTATATCGAAATGAGTAGAAAACCAGGTAAAATACATGAAAAGAAGCGGTATGTATGATATTTTCAGTCTTAATTTTCAAGATTTAGCCACAGGTCAAAAGAAGGTTGCATCTACTTTATTGCTGATAGTTTTTAATTACATTCCACTTGCTACCAACTGTAGATCTCATCACAGATCTTTATGCATGCCTCATTACAACAGATAAAAGTTATGTGATAGTTGTAATGAATTGTTGATACTAAACGATACCTTATACAACAGTAATGCGTATTTAACGATAATAACAAAAGCAACGTATTGTCAGATAGGTTATGTAGTAATTTATCTGATTTTTACATATTATTTCATTATGTTTTCTATTCCTCAGTATGAGTGGTAATAATATATTGTTACTTTTTAAGTTCTAAAACTTAATTTGTTTTGTTGTTTACTTGCTCAATTTTTATCAGGTGGGCAAATGAAAATTTTATCGGACTTATTATCTAAATTCGACAATAATCTATCTAAACACTTTAAAAAAATAGAACTTGTTCCGGAACATTTTGCATTTCGTTGGTTAAGCTTGTTGCTGGCACGAGAATTCATGCTCCCAGGTTTGTAATTCTGTTGTGTTATTGTTAGTAATATCGTTAATTTTCTTATACAAAACACTTGAAACTTGTGAGTTCGACGTCTTATAAAGTTTTATAAATAGCTTCACCGACTTATAGGATTTTAGGTTCGCCGTAGATTGACACTGATGAAAGTATATTCAATTAAAGCAGTAAATATCTTATATTCACAACTGCTAATGATATAACGGAGAGGGTTGTATTGCTGTAGTTGGAACGCATTTGTGCCTGTTAAATACATGAATAGATAGAAAATATGATTGCTAACCCCCAGAACCCTAAATCTCAATAAACCACATAATATCTGAAAACAAAAACCTGACCGTTGACTGCAAAGAATTGATATTAGGTAAAATATCCTACTTTCTACATATTTCCAAGGAATATAAAATTACAGTGAATAAGCTAAGATGATAGTTGTTTGTATGTGTATGGAGATCTGATGTGAGAAAATTCACTGATTATATATCACTTTCGATAGGATATTTTTGATGAAATCAGATAATTTAATAGATGATATGAATCAAACATGTCACATCATACATAAAATGAAGGTAAGTAAAAAAACATTTGTGTTATTATGTTAACCAAACTGATTGTTTACCGTATTTTCAGATAAACCAACTGACTAGAACAAGTGAAAGTAATGATTGTTCTTCACAAAAATAAGAGATGAATTAAATGAAGGGGAATGTAAGGGGAGTTTTGGTTTACTTGTTAATTATTAGTCAACATGGGACAGCTGATTGTATACCATCTCTCCACATAATATTGTTTGGATTTACCCATCTATGTAGGGCTTCAGCTGTTAATCTTATTTTGTATGATGTAAATCTTTTTGAAGGAATCTTGTGTCATTGGGATAAATTGTATGTCCAGAGTCTATTGAATGTAATGCTATCGCTGAATTGTTTTCTAGTTTTCTCATGTCTTCTTAGGATTTGGGAATTTGCTTCAGAGAAATTTTATGCTCCTTCACTCTCACATTAAGCTGCCGTTATTTCTCACCTACATGTATATCACATTCACTACCTTAGATCTTATATACACAGTTTTATCGTTCCTCCTTTGGTGTTGATTTTTTGGTTCTTATTAATTTAGAGTTTAGAGTATTGGTTGTTCGAAATAATACCCTTATATTATGATGATTTAGAATCCTTCTGAAATTTCTTTGGTACATGAGATCACCACTACGTTAACACATTCTTTTGGTTTATCTTTTGTCTTTTAGATTTTCTTCCTCACTTATTCTTTTTATAAAGTCTCTTGGATAATTATTCATTATCAAAGTGAATATAATTAAATTCATTTCAGTTCAATCGTTAAGATTTTCATAAATATGACTTTTCTCTCTTAATGTCTTATATTACATTAAATCATTGCTCAACTACTGTGAAACCACCCGTTCAAATTTAGACGAACTTTTTTATAGATCAAAGTAACTGTTTTGTTTTTAAATATGCAGTCGTTTCTTTCTCTTGTGATCAGAATAATGTTGATTATATTGTTATATTACGAACCCAGCTAAAAGTTACAAAATTCTCAATCTTGTTTACTTATTGTCGTTTTAGTTTCTATCTAATAATGAATTTAGATTTTCTTTAAAACTAGTAAGCAATTGTCTAATACATTCAAAAATATGTTATGTATATTGTTTAACATCCTTATGTGTATATTGTTAACTGTACTTCCAGGTGAATATTATTTACATTATTTAATGTTTTTCATGTATATTTTGTTTTCAAACATAACTGTTAAAATACTCTACAAGTTAATGTTCATTTTAAGTAAGGAACTTTACTTGCTCCTTTTTAATTCTTATTACATTGGAGTAGTGTACTGTATACGGATATGCGTTTGATAATCTAAATAACATTGGAAAATGTGATGTAAATTACAACCACTAAAAAAAATCAATTTATTAACCCATTCAGTGCACTCAATTAAATGGATATGAACTAAACAGAACTACTGTTCAAAAAACTATTATTTTTGTAGTAAAAATGGTTAATACAATGGTTAATAATGCAATAGTTAACACAATTAAACATAATTAAAATGTATTGAAAAGCTTAGAAAATTGTAAGGTATCTAAGTTTTGTCTGGGTTATTTACCAGATAATAAAATTGAAATCTTACTGTTACATCGAATTTTTATTTTAACCAGAGAAATCACTTTTAATTTCAATAAATGAAAATTTTAAAAAGAAAATGTCTTGTACAATTTTCAAACCAATAAATTGTTTATTCAAAGGTGTGTTACCGTTACATTTAGTTTATACTGGCATGGAAAAAAAAATAAGAGAATTTAGAACTACATTCTTAGAAATTATATTATTGTACATATTTAAGCGAAATTTATTATGTAAACTCTTCATCTCTTATAATGGTGCAACTGTATTTATGAGAATATTTTCATTTCACTAATTTATACTGTGTACGTTTTCATCATTAAAAGAAATGACACAGAAATCGACCATAACTACGTAATTTAATGATTTGTGGTTTGTGTTATTAACTTTTGATTTATTTTATGCTCGAGAAAATTCAATCGTATACAAAGTATTGATTAGAAATGAATGAATGAATGAATGAATGGAATTGTTTAAACTAATGTTCATTCATTTTCAATTTTGTTATATTCATATATAAAACTGAAACTCATATTTGAACGTATATATACCATTTAAAGAAAAAGGCGAATTACTTTTATTAAATAGTATATTGTGTTAACACGTTTTATATCGTCAACTCTCTTGAATACTAGTGAAACTGTTAAGAAGAAGGTGAACAACACTTAATTACATTTTTAAGTTCAGTTTCTAGCGTATTTCAACTGGGAGGTTGGAGTTGGTTAAGACGAATACCATTTTGCATGTATTTAAACCATAAGTTCGTTATTCATTATATTTTGCTCATAAGTAAAGATACAAGTTATTAGGTGTAAGTGTAGATAACCTAAATGAAGATATTTTATTCCATGTTCATCCACTAACTGAAATGATAGTTCACATTCATACATCTTTTATATAGAATAAGTGAAGTGTGGCGACTATTAGAATCTGGGACTCATGTTCTGTCGTATTTGAGACACGTCGTCTGGATATACATGCATCCCAGAGTTGATTTCCATTCCTGGACTCGAACCCAATACTGTTAGCTCCAGTCGCCAACGCGTTACCCACTTGATTATTGAGTCCAGAGAGCTGTTCGCTTGCGTCCCTGGTTTCACTCCTAGTCACATTTAATCTATTCTACATAAACGTCATAAAAACTACATCGAGGTAATCCGTCCACGATGCACATATGTCAATCAAGACTGATCGAAATTTCAGTCAGTATCGAGATGATCCAAGTCAGTACAAATTAATTTAAAATTCACACATCCTCTTGATATCTGATACAAATAAATAATGTTTTTTGAAGTGATGTTTTGTTTTAGTGTTTTCTATCTAGCACATTCTGATCACCCTACTTATTGTTCATAATTAACACCAATTTTGGTCTTTTCATAGATATGAAATTGGTTTCAATTACATTTCAGTATTCTACTCGTATTTATCTATTGTGTTACAGATGTACTCCTATTATGGGATACACTTTTCTCAGATCCACACAGGTTCAACTTACTTCCATATGTTTGCTGTTCAATGTTAATGTAAGCTATTTCTATCTATAATTTTGTTGAATTATTTTTCACTTTAGTAAATAATGTTCATTTCAAATTGTTAATAGTATTTGGTTGACAAATATATCTTCAATTTGACCTATTTACTTAGAATTTAGTTTATTCAGATTACAATCTAATAGAATTGTATTAAACTTCATAATAATGCATACCTCATTAATATACGTAGAGTAATAGATCTTTGTTAACCAAAATATTTAGTTCATTGTATGAACTTCTTACTAGTTACAGTTCATATAAAAATTGTTCTGAGTCATTTCAGTGGCTGTTGTTGACTAATTCTAAAAATTATCTAGAAAAATTGCATTTTAATAATTTACTATCTTACATAATTTATATTTGTTGATTAATCCGTTTTAATAGTATTTTATTTTATTCTTTTCAACCAACAATTACTTGATAAAGCAGTTGGTCAACGTTATTGTGATCTATTTGTTTCTTTGAAGTTAAACCGTTTTGTTCAGATATTTTGAGTATATTATTCAGAATTTTCCAGTTTATGTTATATATTTTTGAAATATGACGGTTTATCAAACATGAAACTTCATCTTTTAATTGACATTCTGTCTATACAACTGAGTAAATATAAAATTTCATAGGATTTTAATGGACTGATGGGTGGAGGCTTTGATGACAACATAATTAGTTTACACACTTACAAAATTAAATAGTTTTACTGCATTAATCAGAAATTAACTATTAACCAATGTTATGTTTTACGGTGCCCAGAGTACTAAGAATTAGACAACATGGCATATGTTTCTATTTATTTCTTCATGAAGTTAGTAACAGCATCAATAGATCAGTTACATAGACGACTCCAGTACTAGGCGATGCTTCTTTGGATCCTCGGATCAACCGTTAATTATTTAAAGGGTAGAGAAAAGTTTTGGTGATGATTATTAAAACGTAGACTAAAGCTTACCACCAATAGCTTCCAATAACACAAAATTAAATATTCTGTCAGTAAGTACGCTATCGATTGTCAACTAAGAATCGATACGTTTATCAATAAATGAGTGATTTCATGTTTTATTAATTAATTAAAAGTGAACATTTAATTACCAAACTAGTTAGCTTGAGTATAACTTTGTTTTCCTGTGCTTACTATTCTCAAGGGGTCGATTCATATGTATTATCATCTTTAAATGATTTAGTTTCACAATCTAATTGTTCTATAGTTTTAACGAGTTTTCTAATTTCTTCTTCCAAATCGACTGCTTCTTGTTTGTTTGTTACGTCAGCTATTGGAGATTTCTATAACATTACCTTCATTAGAGCTTCATTGGTTTTCATCTCATTTAAAAATGCTTCTGGTCACTATTATTCCCATTTGTACTTTAAAAAAAAACTTACATTTAAATCATTTTTGATATGAACTTATTGTTTTGATTATAGTCAAATCATTAATCAGATACAAATTCATATAAATGACTTCAATTTATACCGTAAGTATAAAGGTAGTAATACTATCCGACTGACCGTGCTGAAGCAGATATATTAGGGTTTGAATCTGAGTCCTACTGGTTAAGAGTCGAATGCTGTTACCACTAAGCCACAGCTTCATAACAATTCAACCCTTTGTATAAATTTGATGTTAACGCTAATTTACATCACGGTTAAGTTGTTATTTTAATTTCTTGATAAAATGAAATGAATATCTTTAAGTTAAAGCAATGTAAAATAAATAGTGATCAATGTACTGATAGAGTCAAAATTAATGGTTATATGAGGACAAAATAATGAAATGGTCGATTTTTCTTAGAAACTTTAGTATCCATCTCATAGATTTTTAATTTTCTCTACGTTGTTATTTATAATTATTGTTTTCATTTTGGCAATTTTTCTTTTAATTACAAGTGGTATTCGTGATCAACTATTGAAAGCAGATTTTCCTACGGCTGTTCAACTTGTTCAAGTAAATAATTTTTATAATAAAAAAGAATTGATTCTTCACATGAATTTTTCTATGATGATTTTCTTGTAGGATTAAAATAAAAGGAGAAATTAACTTTATATGCGTATGTCGTATAGTTTAACAATACTGATTATATATATATATAAATATATATGTTTACTTGTGAATTACTTCTTTATGCTAGAAAACAACTTTATTTCAGATATCATGAGAGTGTTTTTGATATTAATAAGTAGCATAATTTAATAAACGGTTTTTTATTCGATTTAACAAAAACGTAATATCAGAATGGGTTTTGTGGAGATTTTTAGAAATTTCACTGTTGAAATCACGAGTCAATTGAAGCGGATCGTGGATGCGCACTGCTGAGGAGTCCCATACTAGGACGAAACGGCCGTCCAGCGCTTTCAGGTTTTCCATGGTGGTCTAGCTTCATTGACTCATGATTTCAACCAGTGAAAAACGTAATAGTAAATAAATGTATGATTAGAGAACTTATCTTGAAAAATTACTTGTTAAATTAGTTACTTGCTGACTGGGGTAATAAACGAATTTATGAGTCTTTTTAGTTAACTACAACTTTGTATTTTAGGTTCTCAGATGCTATTATCAACTGATAATTAACAAGTTGTTCAAACTTATAAACTTATGTGTTTTAACTGTTTATTAGTTGTGTAATTAATTATCGTAATATCAAATGTTAAATGTAAACTATAAGGCTACGACAAAATAGCTGTCCATTACTTCCTGGTTTTCATCAGTTGTGTAATTAAGATCAGTATGAAATTCGAAAACTCTATAAACTCTGTATAGTGAATGATGCTTGTTTAAAAAAATCAAGAATAATTTATCTAAAAACGTTGAAGGTCTTTTTTTTTAATTTTTAGCTGGTTTTAAACATCAGTTATCGTTTAGTTATCTAAGTTATCCAAGAAAGTGAATTGTTACTGTTAGAATAACATTTCTGAAGAGATAATTGATTATCAGATTAGTTCGAACTGTTCATTAAATTGCCTATGTTGTTCTTTCAACTCACGTATGGTATCGTTCAAAAACTTTGCCTTGTTCATCATTTATTAAAGGAATCTAAATCATTTTTCCAGGTTTAAAGTAACTCACTCTAGTTATATTTCTCATCATCTAATGTCCGTTTCTATTTCCATTAATATCAGGATTTAACTCGAGTTAGAATGGAAGATCAGTATTTTTTAAAATTAATTAGTTGCTGAGGCACTACCTCAAAATCTTAGGTTCAGTATCTAATGAAGTTGTTGATTAGCACGAGAGATAAATAGTCGTATACTATGACCAAATAGCTGTCCGGTAATGTTTTCTGATTTACAATTCTGATCTAGCTGAAGTCAGTACATTGTCCTTACTCATTCATTATCATATGAATTAAGTATGCATTTATCCGTCTTTTGAAGCTTTTTCACTTATTTCGGAGGATATTTTCAATAGTTAAACTATTGGGTTTTCAGTTTTTCGGTCGTTAAATTAGGCCAATAATTATTAAATTATGTGTTTAAGAAGAATGATAAACTATTATTGAACATATATAACGTAGATGTTAATTCATATTTAAGTTTACTTTGAGAGTATTTTAAACGAAAAGTCATTTAAATATTTTCATTTAATGCTTTTTTTGTACCATTTACACTAAGAATTATCCATCAAATGTCGATGTAATGCATATTCTTTTGAAAGCCAGAACGTTTTATACAGATCACCGGATTTAAATCCTTCTCTTTCTAACTGTCAAATGATTTTTGTTATTACCACCTATTCTGAACAAGGAATAAAAGTGTAAATGTTCATTTTTTTTAAAAATGTGTGTACATGTGCGCATATGTTCGTACCTACCTATTCACGAGTTTCTTCTCTCTCTCTCTCTCTCTCCCGTTTACTAATTTCAAATATTTTTTCTTTATTTCTATTGAACATCAGTTACCTGGTGATTCGTTACATAACAATTTTTCGATAATTTTTATAATGAAAATTACTGTTATTGTTATAATTTTATTTCATATCAAATTTGTAATATGATTTATAATTAAATGACTCACATTTTTTTTGTCTCTTTTCTCCCTTCCATATTATTTCTTAATAAAGTGTTAATATGATTGATTTGTATTAATGACTTTGTTGTATTCTATTCGGTTACTGTATCTTCATGGTAATGTACTCATGATTTTTTCTCTTTTTAATTCTATCTGATTAATAAACTTTAAATGATTGTTTGAATATTGCGACAAATTGTTCAAGACAGTTATTATTATTTTTGTTTCTGATTTTCTATTTTCACAATGAATATTATTATTTTTTGATTTGAAAACAATGAATTAAATCCTCATTTTGTAACAATATTGTTTAAATATATATGTGTGATTTCAAAGAGAATGATTTATATTATATATTTATGCGAAGTGTTTATTTGTTTTATCAAATATTATTTGTACACTTAGCCCCCAAATGCCCTGGTACGGCTGAGAGTGGGGAGAGTTCACTCTCCCTCTCGAAATGCTCTCACATGGCCACGCGTATATAGCATCTGCCAGGGAAGTCCTGCTCCTTCTGGTGGCGGGGGTGTTGTTTACGGAATTGAGAAGACGAAAAGCGAATGTCCGGCGCTTTAACCGGGTTCGTGGACACGGAGGATCCACCTAGGGGAGTTGGAAAACCCTGATTCCAAACTAATGGTGCACATGGGCCCCAGTATCCTGAGGGAGAGAATGGCGTATGAACCAATTATTGGTTACCGGCTACCATGGGATTGCATCTCCTTACGATGCTCCACTGCCTTGTAGATTAAACCTTTAGGTCAAAGGCTCGGGGTGTGGCCCCTAAAGAGAATCATATGCTTTGGTTTGGGCACCCGCGCAGTATCACAGCCCTCATACAAATCAAGTGATTTGTGTGGCGCATGTGTATTCGGTGCCCCTTTGTACCAATATCTATGTGTTCAGTTAAGATACTCTTTGAACTATAATTAAACACTGTAAATAAGGAATGATTTAGTGATTGAATCATTAAACATTCGACTATTGAATCTTAGTCGAAATACTTTTATCCGAATAGCTGCGTAGTTTGATTAACACAAAATCGAGTACACTTATACTCGGAAATTAATTTCAATTGTTTTCTCTAGCTGTCAATTTGGACATGGTACTGGGAATTAAAGGGTTACAAGTTTTTATTAATCTTAAGTACTGTTAAATATTTCACATAGTATAAATATTGAGGTTTTCAAATGTTCCTCTTTAACTAAACTTTAGTCTTGGAATATTCCACTATTTTACTCTAGGAATGTAATGTAGTAAATCTTCTGTAGTTTTCTCCTACTTTAAGTAGTATGAAAAGTACTGTAAAATTTATGTGCTGCATCTATGGCTTGCATCCAACGAACATCCATGAATCTAGGACTCGGTACGATATCCAGGATTTGTAATGCTTTTTGACCACCTATTCATCAGAAGTAGGAAACCAATGAATCTTCATCATATACACTGATTTACAGTTTCCTGACTATGAAATAAAAATTTACTCTTGATCAACATAGGGCTGATTGAGTGAATATTTACTTATATTCTCTACTCAAACCTTTCCATCTTAAGATATTTGTTTGACGTGACCTTGGAACTCAGTCGTCACACATTTCCACAGTTTTTAATATACGTGTTTTTGTATCAGCTACATTCTTTGCTAATTGTATAGGGTGGTTGACTAAATTGATTTACTATCAATTCAGTCAAATCTCATAACTTTAGTCATTTATCTAACGTTAGTAAACGAAATTGTCCATTCTATTACGCTGGTCGTTAAATTTAGAAACTCTAAATTGTTATCGTCACAGCGTGGCTTTTATCACTGTGAACGTTATTTAATGTTGTTTATCAGACTGTCATTTTAAAGTAATCATTGTATGACGAAGTTGTTAGTAGAGCAGCGAACATGTTCAACTAGAATACAAGCCAACTTTGCATTTCGTGTGCAATAAGAAAATATCTCAATCCCACTTATTACGCTGACTTTGAAACTTGGCTTGTATTTGTCTAGTCAATATATCACTTAGGATATTTGATATTGCAGATCACGCTACATCATGTAATTTGTTAGGGGAGTTATTCAGTTTACAACTTCGATTTAAAGTTCTAACAGTTAGTTTATACAATTGTTTGTTAAATCGTAGTTAGAGCAAAGCGTTTCTAACGAATACCGATAATTGTTTACAATTGGTTATTTTTATGGAATTGAGTAAATCAAGAAATGCGAGATAAAATTATTTTGTTTCAGTCGTCTTTCGTGCTTCACTCATAAGTATAATCTATAGTAGAGATATCTCGTAGTTTGAATGAAGGTTTATGAAAAGTCAAATATGGATATAATGCACTTTTTAGGACGTTTCGCCGGTATAGTCGAAAACTAATAATCTTAGGGTGGAAATATGAAACTTAGAACACTTATTGAGAGGTTGGATGTATCCAGCCTCATTCATTTCCCCCTTAGTCTTTTCTGTAATTCAGTCTGAAGAATAATTATCAATCCAGTGTACTGTTTTGATATTCTTCGGGAATAAATTATATTTTACAACGGACCACTCGACAGGAATTTCCTCATCTGAGCATTATTTCTCATCGTAATCGGTTACGTCGCGATGTTCGCTTAAGTTGTATGCAATTACATTCGTTATAGCTATTGCTGTAGAAATAAAATTCTTCCGTAAAAGGTCGATTTATAATTAGTGGATCATTTCATGAAACTGGGGAACGTAGACAATACAGTTTCGTGAAAATACAAGTATAATGCAGTCCAATCAAAATTCGGGTTGCATTTGATTAATGTGCAAGGCAAATCCTTATTCATCCCGAAAATATTAAATATTAGTTAATTGGTTGATGAAGTCACAGTTTAATATTCTTTTTCTGTCTTTCTAGATTACTCAGTATAAAAAGCAGGTAATATATTCAACTGTCTCATGTGTATCGTGCAATATAACTGGTGATAAATTCACGAAATTAACTTATAGGAATGGGATTTTTCATTGGTTGAGATATTCGGGACAAGTGGTTAGCTTGAGAACTAGTTTGAAGAATAGTGAACATGATCATATTATATCTTTGCATTTGTATATAATTTTATTTACTACTGATGTAAAGGATTTAAGGAGCCACAGATCTTTAATCTTAGTGTAAGCTTAGAGAATTTGCAGACTATGGTTCCAAATAAGTTATTTTCGCACAGCAACTTTAATTCATCATATCCTGTACCTTTCACTACCCTTTTTATCAATTTCTTTTGAATTATCATTTCTGTTCTCTACTAATTTTTGTAATATTCTCACTGCTATTCCTTTGTTTTTCTTTTTGTTAACTTTCTCTAATTGTACTTATGTGAAATATGATAGTGATAGCATAAAATGAGATATATTTGTACGAACAATATTTATATTCACAATTTAAGGTGTACCAGTTTGAAAATTAATCAATAAATTACGTAAGGACATCTGTTAGACTTTATTCTTGCTCTAGTTTTGTTTAACTATTTTAAAGGTTTAATAAAAGTAAAACACTTTCATGGGTGTGGTACATTAAATTTACTTTCTGTATAAATTTACAGTATAAAAAATGTTTGACTGATTTTATGGGTCTATGTTATAAGGTCATTAAAGTAGAGTAAAAAGAATTACAAAGGGAAATAATGTTATGGGTTTTGGAACTTCGAATTAGATATTTCTTTGATAATATCTTGATATATTGCCTAGTGATAGAATTCTTTCAGTTGCAGTAAGGATGAACTAAAATTAACTGGAGCATACTTAGTCGGATTCATGTAAATAGAATATGAATTGTACCAGAAATAATTTATTCATACAGTAATCAAAACTTTAAACAGATAACTTAATTCCATGTTTATAGATTAACAGATTTCTGTGACTGAACATTAATTAGGAATGGCCGAAATAATTCTATCAGCTAGTCACAACTCAGGAATTTTCATGACGTTCCTAAATTTATGGCTAACATTAAACCGATTGTGAATATTTTTGTACTCATCAGTTTAAATTTTGATGGTATGACCATAAATATTAGGGAAACATTGATTAATTTAGTGTTATTGAAATATGTGCTCAATTTGTCCATAGATATACTTTTTCTCCATTAGAATCATTATTTAATTGGTTGTAAATAATTTCCATGTGAGATCTGATTAGTTGAATTCCATGGGAATCAGTCACATTTGATTGGATGTTGATTTATATGAAATTTATTATTTGAAAATTTTCTGTGACTCGATAGCAAATTTAAGGGACTTACTTACGTCTGTTACCGTTCACAGAGGAGCATAGACCTCACACCAGCATTCTCCATCCAACTCTATTCTGGGCAATCTTTTCTAGTTGCTATTCATCCTTTTCATGTCTGCTTCCTGAAATATTATAGTCTAACTATGTACTTCATTTAGCCGCTTTGACATAGTATTTTCATCCATCATTTATTTCTACAAACGTTAACGTTTAACTACTAAGATTCCTTACGGATTAAAATTCAAAAAGCTAATATTAGTAGAGTTATGAAGTCATTTGGGCTATATTTATAGACCATTCTCTTCCTTCCTATTAAGGTTGTAGTTCACAGTTAACTTTATTTACTCTAATGCTGAATAAAGTATGTCAATGACGCTGTAAACATTAAATAAAAATATCTAACTCATTAGGAGATATTTATGGGCGTATACAGTG